TATAAGAGGAAGAGACCCCAGGAAAGTCCACACAGAGAAAAGCACCAGTGAGGACCCCCTGCCAGCCCAGGAGAGAGTTCTCACCAGGAACCAACCCTGCCAGCACCTTGACCTCAGACTGGCCTCTGGGACTATGAGAAAATACATATCTGTTGTTTAAGCTACCCAGTCTTAAAGAATTGATATGAGGATTTTTAAAAATAATATTTCTAAGGTAGTTAGCACAGAAATATGTGCTCAATGAACAGTAGTTATTCCATCATGGCTTTTCGTTTCCAAATCACTTTCTGTCTGCTTTGAAACCCATGGTCTTCATTCCCCGGTGGTTCAGATGCACTGAACCGAGCCTCAATTCCCCCTAGCAAATCTATTCAAGGGTCATGGAGCTCCTGGGACCCTGGAATCCCCACAGGCATTTCTGGAGCACACCCCTAAGAGAGCACAAAGATCGACCAAAACATAGTCCGCTTTGAACTATAATTAGAACAAACTGAGGAAAATGCAAGTACAGCTTATAGAAGAGCCACTGACTACAGGTCCTGAGCATTTCCAAGCATGACTAATACATGGTAGGTTTTTACTAAGAGACTGGAGATGGCCCTTGTTGCTTCTACCTCCTGTCTGGTTTCACCTTTTACCTGGCTGCAAGGTAAACATACAAGTTTTAAACATCCCATAAAAACCTGCTGGCCCCAGATTCACTGCAGTGAGAGCCCTTAAGCCCTCTGCTTTGCACCCCAACTTATTCTTCCATTCCCTCCTCCAGTATCCGGGCCTGATCTGCCATCTGCCCTCTCCGAACAAGGGGTTTCTAGCCTCGGGAATCAGCATCCCTGCTGTGTCCACCTAGTCCTGACTGTTGCTGATGCCTTGGTCCAGGCTGCTCCCTTCCTCAGGAGGCAACTGTTCTATTTGGGGTTTTTTCCTGCTTTGTTTTGTTTGTTTTATTATTTAAAGGGACGACACTCTTTCCTGTCCCCCAGATTCTAACAAACTAATAAAACACACAAATTCACGTCAGCACGTAGCATTACTGGGGCATCGCCTCTTACCAATTAATGACCACAAGTTTTATGCTTTGGGAATCTTCTGACTTCCTTCCAAAACAAGTTCCTTTATATTTTATGTAAAGAATAAAATCGGTGTTAGTAAGTATGGAAAACTAGAAGCTGGCAGAAAGAGGATGAGCAGTGGTAACTGTACCAGGCAGTAAAGTACTGCTTTATCCCTCAGGAAAGAGAAGATATCTACAAGAGCCTGCCATTCCTCACTTTTGCTCCTAGGTGTGATATGAATCTCTAGTCCTGCATCCCGACTTGGTAGTTATTTTCTACTGCATTGTGTTCCATCTAGTTTATTCCTGGTTTGAATCTTTCATGATGCGGCAGGAAGTTTTCCTTCTATGGCTAGAGTCACTTCACCTTTCTTGTCACGTGGTACTCTTCAGTTTCCAGGAGAAGTCATGTAATTTTGTTAGAATAAACAAATGTCTTAAATGCCTCTGTATCCAATATATGTCCTTCCTTTTGGAGTGGACCCATGTTTCTCCATCTGGGGCTCATATACTTGCCATGGAGGGAAGGGGGTAGGGGATGGTATGAAGTGTCATTTCAGAGTATACTTCAAACCACCAGGTAAATATGATATGTTTCTCTCCCATGTTACCCGAATATATGGGTAGAAAATATTATTTTCTATTAAAACAGACATGAATATACAATGGAGTAGAAATGAAAATTCAAAAGGACTTTTAAGATAGACTGATGGCTATGAACAAATTTGTTACTTTTAAATTGCAGCATCCCCCAGATGCCCAGAGTCTGTCTTTCAGGGGATGGTCTGGAGGGGAAAGTTTAGGAAGGATTTAAATAGGGTCTCTGTTGAGTGGAATGAACAGGTCTAGTCCAGCAAGTTTTTAATTTAAGCCACAAAGTTGATTTGTTTTGTTTTGTTTTCATCGACAGTGCCTAAGGGCACAATTCAAATAAATGTTGAGAAAATGATTAATTACTTCTCTCTTTTGTTCTCATACTCATTGTTGCCAAAATCCAACAGCACTTACTAAGCCTTCATACGTTCAGCTCTGATTGAGGTATGTTATTTTTGTGATAAGCAGAAACAGCATCATTTGTGAGCTGTCTGTAAAGAAATGGTTGAGGTAAGAAAAAACATCATTTAATCTCCAATTAGACTAGAAATTGTTTGTAGAGGAGATGAAGAAATCTTCAAGATGACCTTGAAGGAAAATAATATTCCAAACCTGTCACAGTGAGAACAGCGTACTGCGAGGGTACACAAAGTATGGACACTGAACAAGAAAATGGACGAGAATGTGGACACATTCAGCATAGAAAGAAGGGATAAAAACTAACGTTTATTAGGTACCTACCATCCCAGGTGTCTTCCTGTATGTTGTTTTGTTTAACCCTCAAAATACCTTAGGAAAGTATGTTCTTTCCATGCAAAAAAATGAGGCTCAGAAAGGGATGGTAGAGCTGGATTTTGGACTCAGCAATTTCAGAGTCTTTGGTGGCGGTGTCTACACACTCCGTGGAGCAGAGGTCTCTGGTGACTGTTGAACTGAAGTGTACAGTTCTGTAACCAGTTCTTCTAAGCTCCGCTGGCGTCCTGCTCTGATCCCATACAGCACTGGCTGTGCGGACCCTTCATTTGATGTTTACTGTTATCTATCCTTGTCTGATGATCATTCCCAAAGCAGCTTGTGAACTCTGGAAACTCAGGAACCATGGCTTTCATTACTTTGTCTTCCCTGTGGAGTCCTGAATTATTTTAGTAGATGCTTGGCAAATTTTAGTTGCATGATTGAAGTTTTACCCCCAAGATTCTAGATTCTGTGTGCATAGGCAAGGACTCTTCTATATTCACGACTTAAACCTTAGCCTTTAGACCACAAGTAATGTGAATTAAAGGTGTGCTCTCGCATTGCTCTCTTTCAGATATTTGTAACATTTTTTAAAATGATAGGATAAAACCCAGGCCAGGAACATGGTCTTAATATTAGTATTTCCAACTGGTTTGTGCTCATGAACGCCAGTCTCTCCTCTTACGGGAACTGAACTATCATCCAGCAAGTCAATGGTGAGATAAGGAGGCAAACTGTTAAAATTTTAAGTGATGTTCCCCATATCGGATTAGTGTATCACAACCTTGTCGTATAAGCATCATGTCAAAAGGCCACCTCCTTAGGGAAGCCTTCATGGACTGCCCCCTATGGATGGCTGTGCTGGAGAGAGTCCCTCATGGCATCTGTCTCTTGCTGTGGGGATGCATTTAACATGTATGAATTTAATTGATACACATTGATTTAATACTCAAAAGCACCATATTATACCATTATTGTCATCCAGAACGTGCAGATAAGGAAACTGTGAAACTCAGAGACCAAGTAAGTCTCTCAAGGTCAGTTACAACGAGTTCGCCACAGGGGCAGCACGTGTGCCCGGAGCTCTAACTCCTAAGTCCCCAAGCTGATCTCGCCTCTAACGGCCGAACCCTCCTGCCTACCCCCAGCTTCGTCTTCCTCATTGCCTCCTCAGGGTCCTACAGCAAAGAGAAGACACACTTAGCTGAGATTTTATGAGAATTTGATGATGGAATTCAATTGGACCCTTGAATCAGCTGTCGGTCCAATTACTGAATCAGTAAGGAGATGTGAGAGATGGCAACGGCAAGGCAGCCCTGCCCCCCTCAGGCCTGAAGGAGCACGGAAAAGAAATGGGGTTTCTGGACCCTGGGAGAGGGAGGGAAGGGAGCAGAAAGGTCTGGAAACTCAGAAGCAGGAGGCTGGGTGGCAGAAGCGCAGGAGCAGACGGGACGGCCTCAGTAGGAAACGCCCAGGCCTCTCCTCCCTGACCTGCCACTGAGTCTTAACGAGAGAACCAGGCCAACAGTGAAACTAACATGATTTTTATCTCGAAAGCAAGAGTTTGCTCTCACGACTTTTTAACACTGAGGTTCTACCACTTTAATTGGCTTTTTATTGCCCAATGCATTTGCATTTCCTCCCTGGATCCCAAGCTTCAGACTCGACCCGGACAGATTCCGAGTCACCAAACACACCTGACGATGAAAACTGGCTTAGTGCATGACCTTGCAAACGCCAGCCCCACCTGAGAAGCCTGATGAGATGTTTGATGTTTCTGTGTTAACCATCTTCCCTGGATTCCTTACCACAGAGACGAGAAAACATATAAACCAAACTCAATAGTCTCTTGCTTTGAGTGAAATAGCTCTGAGAGGGCAGAGCACACTGTATCTATTTTTTCTTCTCTCCCCACTGAGCTCATCCATTAGATAATCATTCTCACGTGTGAAGAACAATTACTGACTGATTAAGAAGGATGGGGAGACCCCTGGGAAGTTCACCTGAAGCCCTAGAACGCATCCTTTCTCCCTACGTTGTTAGCATTCTGCTAGTTTTCCAGTAATCATTTCTGGATTTTGCATTAAACAAATTTCTCATCGCAGGGGTGCATCTGAACTATAAAATCACAGAAATAAATTTCCTATAAGACTTAACTTTGAGGCCATTTTAGTAACCATGAAGGTTTATCGTTTGGGTTAACCATATCACGAATTGGGCTCAGTTACTCACAAACCCGCCAGGCGAAGCCAGGGCCTGAAACGCAATCATTGTGAAAGCTTCTTCCTGATAATTGATGGCGACGGGTTAGGATAAAGTGTAGTCTGCCTGCTCAAAAGGTTTTTATAAGTATGTCATTTGCTTCTGTACGCTGAAAAGTGAGTCTCAAAGAAAAGAAAGCGCTTACAGGCTCTCCAGCAAAAACAGCTTTTTTTTTTTTTTGGAAAAGCTTTTTGTGCTTTTGTTCCAAAGGTTGAAGTAGAGTACAAGTCTGAGATCCCTAGCTCTCTGGCATCCAGAATTTTTGAGAAGACACACTAAGGAAACTATTGAGCCCTGCATACATTTTTAACTCACCAAGGAACCAGGCACAGTTTCTCCATTTTTACCTACTCACCTCGCACTTTTCGGAGTCAGTTTCTTGGTACAGCTCTCCTTCCTTTTTCTCTCTCCAGGTCACGGGTTCGGGTCCTCAAAGATGTCACGCGCACAGACATTTCCCAGCTACGCCTCGGAGCAGACCGAAGAGACACAGCCGTCCTTGTCCCGGTCCAGCAGCTACGGCTTCAGCTACAGCTCCAGCCTCATCCAATGACACCCAGAGAGATGCTGAGACCAGAGAGACAGTCTGTCCGGACCTGCCTGGGGGCCATCACGCCCTCTGCCTCGCGGAGGACCAATTGCAGGGAACATTGAAATGGGTCGGGTCTATCCCCGCTCCCAGTGGAAGGTTAAAAACTGGAGTTCTGCTTCCTTGATTCTGTGGCTAAGTCCTTTATTTATTGAGTTTCTTGCGAGGGAGTCTATGTTTTACAAAAATAGAATCCAAATCTTCTGAACAGTCATTTAAACAAAATCCTTTGAGTCTGACGGTAGCAGAAGCCTGGGCAGGGTGAGAAGTCGCCCACGCTGGACTATACCTGGGTGAAGGCATTGCCCCTGTCCTCCTGGCTCAGTCCTCCCACCTGAGGAGAGGTCTGTCCTTAGACAGAAAGGTGACCCACCACAAGTTCTGTGGCTTGGAGGGTTTCGACAGGGACAAATCCAGTAAGCTCTACAAATGGCATCACAACTTTCCATATAAATAAGCCCAGTGACAAGGGAACACGCCCACGAAATTTAGAACACACTCTTAAGCAGGGCCTTGTAGCTCTATTCTGTGTGTGTGCTCTGTGTGTGTGTGTTGTGTGTGTGTCTGTAGACAAATATGGATATGGATATTGCTGCATCCATCTATATCTAACAAGTATATATCAATGTGTGCTGAGCGTGACAGCATATGCTCACTTAAATTGTTGAAAACTGTTATTTGGTGCATTAAAATTAAGGTTGTTATGTTGAATAGCTATTTTTAAAATAGTGCTGTAAAAAAAAAAAGGCTTCTTATTAGCAAAGTATTTATGTAGTCATGTCTGCTCCTGTGAGAAACATAGGTGACGATGGGAAAAGGGGGACCACTTTGGAAACGAAAGAACCAGTCTGGCTGTCCTGCACGTCACGTCACTGCACTGTCTTTCTGTTCAGTAATCCCTTGTTGGTGACGATGTTTCTCCCTTTGGCCCCCTCTGAGCTACGTGGGGAAGATTGGGTGTGATCCTCGATTGGCTTTCATTTAACCTCAAGGAAAAGAAGGACTCTAAATGACAATCTGTTTAAGAAAGAGATAAAAGTACACTTTAAATGAAATCAGACATTTTGCAGTCAGGAGACCAACAATAGGGACAGGACTGTAGGTATCATTTATGTGTCACAGATGCTGTTCCCAGAGAGCCATCAGGGGCTTGTAATTTACTGTGTAACCAGGATTGGCTGGGCTTTACTTTCCTTTTACTGGATATGGGTTGGCTGGGATTATAAGAGAAAATAGACCCCCCAAAAAAAGAAGTTTTTTTCATTCCTGAGACTAATGACAAACCTACTAGATTTAAAGGGACGTGGTGATTTCCACGTGAACTGGGGAAGTTTGGCTAATTTGGGTCAACATAGATATTTTTGCCCTTAGTTTTGGAGTTTACTCAAGTAAAAATAAAAATCATTCTGCCCGAATTATCTGATGCCACGTGCCTAAGATGGTCAGCTCATAAATACTCCGAAGGTGGATTTAAAGAACAGCGAGCCCAGGTCATGTAAGATGGAAACCTGATTTTTTTTTCAATATCGAAAATTTTTTAAGCTTTCAAAGTTAGTCTGTTGAAAGGGTACCTTTTTTGCTGATCTGTGATAAAGCTTTTTTTTCATCCATGTCCATAGCTTGAATGCAGAGTCACAATTCATTGTGGAGAGTTACTAGTGGTAAAAGAGGTATTCAGTCCCTCCGTGATAAATTTGCACTTATATCAACTGCCTAGATTTTCCACAACTCAGATAAGTCTGAAAATGCCCTCAAGATGCTAATCATAAGAGTTAATGTGGCTGTGAAAAATAATTATCCTAAGCTTTCAGGGATAAAAAGAAAATTACTCAAATGCTCTGCACTGTGAGTTTTGCTGACACAGCAGAATAGCGGATGACTGGTTCCTGACGATGATACAGCCTTCCCTGAAATCCCAGCCTTCAGGGTTGAACACCTCTGAATTACTTTAGCACGTGGCGTTTGCTTTTGAAATGCCGCTAGTGAAACACACCAGAGCAACTCCCAGCTGAGACCATTTGAGCACAGCTCCCAGTGGTGCCACGCTCAAAGCAAGCCTCTCGTGGCTCACTCGGTCGAGTTGTTGCTTACAGACCACAAGTTTCTACATGGAACTTAGGGGGACAGATCCTCAGGGGTCCTGGTATATGTCTCAGCTTTATTAATGTGCCAGAAGCACAGACAGCGGGTCCGGGGGGATTCTGCTAATTAGATGAGTCTGCTCTTGTGTCTCTTTGGTGGGAGACACGATTCCTGCATGAAGTAGTTTCCAGAACACTGTTTGCTTGTGATCATTACCAGTGAGTGTAACTGAGGGGGGGTCCCAAAGATCAGGCATAACCTTGGGCCGGTTCATTCAGAAAATAATGTCATAAAAAAGAGTCAGAGAGAAATTTCCTTCCCATGTCCTTAACCCAATCTCATCACAATGAGAATAATGGTGTAAAAGATTTCATGATACATTTTTGGAGATTTATTCTAGCATACTCCTCTAACTGTACTTAAAATTGCAGCCAAGTCAAAATTGCTGAATGACCAGGTAGGAGAATTTACATTAACCTAATATACTCGGCATAGACAAGCAGATAAATGTTCTGCAGAAACCAAAGATGAAAACTTACTGAACCGGTCTGCTGGAAGGCCATAAAGCCAGCACCAGTGGAGTAAGTAGAGTGGTCATAGGCGTGTATCCAGCTCACTCGAGCTTGTAGGTTTTTGACTGAAGATGCCTCTATGCTTTGCAAGCATTTTTCTCCCTTCAGAAATTGTGTTCTTTAATACACATGTGACTTTTTCATTGTGAGGGAGTGACTGCTATGAACCAAAGACATCCTTCGGCTCCTTCTGAAACTGACTCGGTCAGCTTTCCATCCAGATTTAGACCGGCGGACGAAGATGGTCACAGTTTCCATATCAGGTTGGAAGAAGGCAGTGGTCAAGGAACCCAACACGAGTCATAAAGGATCTTCTGAGAGCAGAGAAAGCCTGGAAGACGTACACATTTCATGGAAAGATTACCTGAAGGGATTTATTTTTTATGTCCCCAATTTTTTGTTCTGATAATATTAATTGTTGTACACGTGACATTATATTTATGTAGAAAAGTACAAAATAACTTTGACCCAATTGTTTACTATTCTGGTGGGAGGGAAAAGAAGACACTTCTTTCTCTTAGTCATCAAACAATGATGCTGACTAGCACTCGGAACTAATTCGTTTATGCAATAAATATTTATGGATCAATAGGTTTTGGCCACTGCCACAATTTGAACTTAATGAAATAAGAAATATATATTTACTTATATATTAAGGAAGATGTGGTTTGATAGAGCATGTGAAATAAAGTGAAATGTATTTATTAAAAGTAAACCTCACCTTTTCCAACAAGTAGTAACTATAGTACTTAGTCCTTGTATCTTGTACAATTTTCCTCTGTCTTCAATGGGCAATTATGTTTGAAAATAATTTATCAACTATAAAATGGTTAACCACTTATTCTTTCTGTCCAGTATAGAAGCAGTGGACTGATAAATAACTTTACACTGTTAGTAGTTTCTATAAATCCAATTTATTGCATGTGGTATCTTTATAGTAGATATTAAAAACATCATAAAAATTGATGTCTGCCCCTCATTCTTTGGCCAATATCTCAGAAAACTCTGTAAAAAAGCATGATTACACTACTCCCTTGATTATTTGAGCCACTTACTAAAATGGACCATTAATGCTACAGTGAAAACAAGCTAAGAAAATTATATTCTTGTAAAAACATTGTAGTCCAGATTTGATTTTTACAATACATACAGCACAATAAATGGGCAGTATACACTCAGTGGGGCTGAGCTTAGGCCTTTAACACTTTGTGTTTTATAGCAAACATTATACTAAAAACTGCTCAAAGTGAAAATTACACATTTTCTCCAAATCTATCATGTCTGTCAATACCTTGCAATTTCAAACTGCTTTATCAATCATTAACTATACTTTATAATCCCGGAAACTTGGCCTTCTCAAAATAGATAGAACTTTGCCACTAGACATGTGTTAATAATTATAGTAGGTGATACACCACACAAATGAACTTCTAACCTATGAAATGTAGGGAGTGCAACTTCCCATGGAGGGGGTAGAACAAGAGGAGGGGGACTAGTCATTAGGGCAACAGTTTAGATAAAATTACAAGAACTCCAACGAAGTACCCAGTGTTACACTGGGACTCTGCTGTCTTCGTATTCTGACCTCAGTTCTATGTCACAGACACGGCCTTCTTTACTAGTTTCACCTCGTGCTAAGTATGCAATTGAAAGAAGACATAGGTTGTATCAGGTTTTGAAGTTACCACAGAAAGACAACACATATCAAGTATGCTTCCTTCAGTTTAGTGAAAACTATTGCACACAAAAGAATGTATCATCACAAAACACCCATGGTTAAATGTCTCTTCAGTGACATGAGCATCAGTTTCGTAAGGTCAACCTCATCTGAGTTTCAACACGATGTATTAGCTGTGACACTGGCTGGGGACTAAATAAGAGGTCAACAGCCTCGCATGTGAATTCTCTATCAATGTATTCGAAAGATTCACCCACTTTTCTTCTCTGAAACGACCACAAATGCTTCCTTTTTTACTCGAGAATGTAAATCTTTGTTGTATCACTTCTACAATTATTACAACTAGGTGAGGCATGGGATAGTTCATAGACTCTCGGGGAAGTATCATGAGATGTTGGACACATTTTCTAAATAGATGGAATGCTAGCTAGCTCTGAAAGCAATCACGTACAAGAAAATTTCCGCTTTATGTTCTGCTCAGGAGAAAACCAAAACCCGTGGGTATTGTAATTTATTCAAAGGCAAAGAAATGGTGAGGAATAGTTTTGCCTCATTCCAGGCTTCTAATCCAGGAATGTTTCCTTGACTCCATGTCATCTCCCAGTTAGGCATGATGCGAGCGAGAAATACCACATGGCCTCTAAATAAATAGGCCCTTGTACCTTTAAGGGTTTCTTCCAGTTTTTTAGATGTTCCTCACTCTTCCTGGGTTCATCACCACTATATCAATAGAAAGGCTTGATGAGGCAATTCATTAGACTGGTTGTAGGTCATGAATGATTAGGATAAGTTTTATTACTCCTACACTGTCTTAGAGTTCTTTGTTGGAAATTCAAATTTATTTATCCTGAAGCGATAGTTGAACAACTATAAAAAAATTAAGTAGATGTCTATGTTTTGTATTCCTGCTAGTTTATCATATTATAATTGTGATTATTATTTTGAGGATCTTTATCATTCTGTAGCACTTTCATTTAATTATTTATGGCATTTGTCACAACTTAGATAATAATATCCAAGCTACATTTTTTTTCATGTGAACTCAAAAAGCTTTCCTTTTCAATTGAAATTTGGGGAATGGCATTTTTTACATTAAAATACCTTACACATCAAGTTTTTTCTTACACACTTCAGTAGACAATTATTTAAATTAACTTTAGATAAATAAGTTAAAATTACTAAGAAATATGAAAACCACATTTTACTTGTGATTTTAGTACATTTTTCCCAGTTGAAGATTTTAACGTCTTGTTAAGATTTAAAGGAGAGGAAAAATACATTTTTAATTGAAATATACCAACTTCCTTCTAATAATTCAGCTTAATAAGTTTTTATTTTACCTCATCTTCTATGTCTGCTACCCTAGTCCATATTCCATATTCTGGTTTTAAGAAGAATGAGTGGGTTAAAATTTTCTAGTAGTTATTTTGGGAAGTTTAGTAGTTGATGCAGTTAACTTCCTCAGTCTGCTCCCTGATTTTAGGACAATTTTAGACTTAAAGAGAACATAAAATCAATCCTTTTTGTAGACACAGAATCATGGGTCAAATGGAGCAAGGTCTCCACACTGTCCCTATAGTTGTGTTCATGTTGGAATTTGATTGTTATCTTAACACTCAAGTGATCCACAGCCTCGTAAGAGTCGCTTATTTTCAGGAATCAGAAATTTAAAAACCCGAATTAAGGAGAAAAAGAAAATTGAGATGATGATTTAAAAAAAATTTTTTTTTAAGTCACCACATGATTTCTCTCAAAGAAAACATTATGAGTTATGAGAGGGTTTTTATGGCGTTTCAATATCATTAACTCTTTGAGGCTGAAAGGCAGGGAAAATGAAGAAGAAAATGACAGAAGTATCTTGATATTAAGTATGAATCAGAAATTAATATGATATAGGTCAATATGAAATAATTTGATTAATAAAATTGAGATTTACATATATATTACATAATTCAAAGAACAATGCTTTTTCTTATCTAAAAGAAAATATATATATAAGTGGGTGGAGTTGGGGGAGATGGAACTCCAAATTTTTGTGATGACCTGAAGTAGAAGATTCTTTCCCAGTATAAGACACTATAATTTTAGTTATAGTAAGCACTGTATAAATCACAGCAACAAATCAGTCTACCCCTTGACAATAAATGAACATGAAAGCCAGAATCACCTTTACTGAAGATGACAGGAGACCTCCCAGGGTCTGCAGGGGCCTCAGTTACTCTCTCCACACAAGCCCTAACACACACACACACACACACTTTTGACTATTTACCTACACTATATATTCCACTGTAATACTCTTTTTCCTAGGTCCACACAGAATTATCCCATCTTGTAAAATCCTTACCCCTATGAATCTTCAAAATATATTAAAATTATGTGCTGTATGTCTACTTTCCATAAATTCTTTTAAATTAATTTATATATACTTTGTGAAGTCTTATACTGTACATTGTAAACAAATGTCAATTGTCATTGATTAAATTTATTGTTTATGAGTACTTTGATAAAAATAACTTTGGATGCTAGGCCCCTGTTAAGAATTAAAATACACATTGCAAATTTGCTTCTATTGGAAAATATGTGATTTGACATTCTTTATTTTTAATCACAATCTATCCCAGATAAATAATAGTTCGGGGACGTCTGGACTTAAATACTCATTGGGCCACCTTTGGGAAGGGAATGCAAAGAAATAGCTGTCCCTGGAAACTAAATGTGAATTTCTTGCAGAACAGAAAATATTATTATAATGTGGCAATAATAAAATTAGGAAATTAAATTATTTTAAAATCTGTCTGTGTGATTTTCCCCCTTGGTAAAATACATGAAATGCATAGTTCAAGAATTACCTTTTTCTGAATTCATAGCTTCTATATCTCAATCCTTAATAGATAAAACTTATTAATGTCTTACTCATGATTCTAAGAAATTTACAAATGATATTGCTACCAGGAGGAAAATTTATACTGTGCAAGATTAAGTTTCCCCCATCACTTAAAAAAAGGTAAAGCCGTTCAAAACTACTACTTTACACGACAACTTTGCATGACTGAGATTTTGAATATCTAACTTGATGGTTTTTTACTCAAGAGTTGTTGAATATTGTTGGCACTGTAATATTATATGATTTCCTTAATTTCTCTTATTGAATGATGAACTGTAACTATGTAATTAAACAGAATTCTGGCAAATCATATTCAGCTAACCTTCAAAATGTCCATTATTCCTTCACTTATTGGCTTGCTATTTTTAAAATAAAGTAAAAGAAGGCCCTTTATTAAATGTAAGGTTACTGAGAATTTATTATGCATTTCCAGTGTTTTCCTTATGATAATAGAATATAATTTTTATTAGGTTGACTCTGGTTTGGTGGAATCATAGACTATTAATATTGAAAATGACATTGGTGGTTAACACATTTTCTAGTGAAGTCACACCCAAAGTTTTTAAGTGGCTTTCTCAGTGTCACACAACTAGAAAAAAGTTTTTCCTCCGGAACTATGCTCACCCTTTAATAAAAAAAAGAAAATTATTAAAAATGAACATTTGGTAGACAAAGGTTTAATATCCAAAGCGAAATGTGTGTGGTCATGACTGTACTAGACACCAGTAGCTTCTTTGTTATTTTCCATCCCATGATATAGAACCTTTGTCACTTGGATTTCGACCACAGAATCTGTTCCTGAAACTTAATCTTTAAATATTAGCTGGATATATCTTATTACTTTACCAAATTAGTTGGGAGTATTTTTCCTTTTAGAGAGTCACGTCTTTAAAGAAAGGGTGAGGCTTCCATAATATCAGAGAAATCAAAATGGGTGAGGGTCAAGCGGTCAGTCCTAGTGCTAAAACGTCCTGCTCCAACCAGGTCTGGACAAGGTCATGAATTTGAAGAAAGCAATGAAAAATGTATGAGTGCTTTCAATTCTGTGCAGAAGGCAGAGGGTTGGAAAACACTTAGGGAGTGGCAGTGGTGATGCAAACACTCATTCTTTCTAACTGCTGAATGAAATACAGCTTATCCTAGATAGGACGTTTTTGTGCTAATTTCAAAACAAATTGGTGATGTGAACTTGATGGATTTTTCTTTCCCTTTCTGTCACTGTTAAAATCACGGGGATTATATTTACCGGGGAAAGGGTCTTTATGAAAAGTGCAAGGTTTGTGTAAGTTTAGAGCTGACATTAGAAAAGATATTTAATAAATGCATGTCAGGGGGCACGGCCCAATAGCAATTACTATGCTATTTTTGTAATATACAAAGAAAAGCAAAATCAAATAAGTCCCCAAAATGGCAAAACTGCTATCTTTATTTCCAAGTTATTCAAGAAAAATAGTAGGCAAATATACCTAATTTTGATATCCATATGGTAAAATTTTAAGTCAATGTCTGAGCAAGAACTGGATAGAGTATCTAAATATTCATGGAAACATGAATTATCCTAGTATCTAGGTGTTTTAGGAAATCAGGCTGCTGATTTATATGATCTCAAAGGCTAGTCAGTGGCTGATACTTACTGAATGCTTGACATTGAAAAGACATGAGTACAGGGCACCCGGTATCTCTTGGCTCTTGTTCTGGCCTCCTTTTAATTACTTTTGATACACAGCAGTGCCAGGAGGGCACTCTGATGGCAAAAGGCTGTGTGGCTTTCCACAGAAGACCTGAGATGGCAAAAATAAAGGAGTGAGGGAGGGAAGAGAGACCAGCCTCGTCAGCTTCCTAAATCCCTTTCTCAAAGCTGTCTCTGCATTTCTCTCTTCCTCCTTCCCCCCTTCCCACCCCTTCCCCTCCTCCTCCTCCTTCTTCTTTCTCAATCCCTCGCTTTTTTTTCTCTCTCTCTCTCTCTCTGAATAGCTAGGCCTCGCTTTTTTCAATCACAGGAAATTATTAGGCAGCATAGTCTAACATAACTCCAAAATTACCTCTTGCTATTTCTATTGTATAAATTTTGTTAAACCCGTTTTCCTAAAATTCCCTATTCCTCTCGACACAAACGTGTACATAAGACGAATACGCGCTCGCCATCACTGTCTATGTATGTGTGAATTACAGAAATCTGTTCTACATCTCTTATACTCTTCTGAATATTTGCAAACTTTGATTGTAAGATAGCCGAAAGAAAAAATATACTATTTCAAAATTCAATTTAAAAAACATTAATTGAATCTTCTAAGAGCTGGGAATTCAAAAGTGAGTAAGACTTGGATTCTCCTTTAAGGAACTCACCATTTAAGGAAAAGTATGCATTTCAAGTCATGAAGTAGGTATATCCAGTCTCGCGCTGTTCAGCCAATGTCACTTGACTTAATAAGTTCCTTTCTTGTTCCAATATCCATTAAAACATATGTTTTAGGTAGCCTGCTGTTTCTGAAGTTTATAGTTTTTTAACAAATGTAATTCTATTTCAGAGACCTAAATAGATAGAGCTTGATGTCCAAAACAATAAATATTAAGGCCATTAGCAGAACTAATCCATTTCACTCAGTCTAACTACAGCCACCTCACTGTCAGCAAAATAATCTAAAGTAAAAATGCCACAAAGGATATACTGTGAACGTTCTGCTCAGCTCCGCACCCCACCCTCCTTCCCCGCCATCTGGCCCTCTTTCTCAATACTGAGAGAGGCTGGCATTCTAAATCCTAAATTGCATGGACCATTGAGAGCGCTAAGAAATGTAACTAAAATGAATCATCATAAATTTAGAAATTGTAAGTGGGATGACTAGGTATTATATAGGAAAGATTGTCCACTGTACTTTTAATATTGTGCACAACTTAGACTGGGGGTGATATTTGATATCTCAGGTAAAATCAACATTGCATATAGTACAAACTATTCACTACATACAGGAACAAAATGTAATTATTCCATCCTTCGTGTGACATTTGTCCTTTTCAACTCTTCAATAGAGATGTAAAATGGATACATATCCAAGAGGCACTATTCCCCAAAAAAGATGTTATATCATGATGTTTGACATTTTAAACAATAACATTTATATGCTATACTTAACTGTGTGTTGTAGAGTTTGGGGCATTATTTTTAATGTATCAGAACATTATGAGCTCTCAAATAATTCAGGTCACTGCTGAGAACTCGAGTGAAAGAGATCATCTCTGTCTTTTTTGGTTCCTGTCTAGACACCATCTTTTCTTGAAGCTTAAATGACATGGGATTCTTACAATAATAACTGGTGGTTATTATTAACGATGTTCCCTAATCTGGAAGTGATGGTAACAGGTCTTGGGCAGTAATGGATTGTTTCTTAGTCTAACTTAATAGAAATGTTCAACTTCAACACTGCTTCTATTAACATGTAAAGAGAAAGAGTTTAGAGTTTTAGAAGAAATTGTTCAACGATCTATTTAGAAAAGCTTTGCAATGTTCTGGTTTATGGCCATATGGAGTGAAGAAGCTATAGGGCTACTCTGACTTGGGTCCATTGTTCATGTTAAAGTGACTCTTTCACACATTTATGAAAGCATATAACTAGCACTGTGTAACGGGCCCTCAGGATGTGTGGACCTCCTTTCTCAAGTTGCCATTCTGTTTTGTTTATCTTGCTTTGCATTGTGTTTTCTTCCATTGAAGCCTAACATTTGTATGTATATATACACCCTGATCATGCTGTTAGTGCCTTGTTTCCTCTTACCCATGCATTCTTCTGATTCTCATTTACCTCCTGTGCAACTAATCCTTAAAATAAATTTATACTGAATACATGTAACCAGGGAAACACTTTCCTTTGACTTGCATTTATTCCATTTTAGCATCATCCAAAAAAAGTCATGAAGTCTGGTGCCTCAGACTGTATTCTGGGATGGATGGGTGTTACTGACAGTTCCTCTGACTTAGTTTGTGCTGACTGTGTAGACTTGACACATTATTTTCTTCTTGTGGCTTGAGATGGTATGTCTCTTTACTACCTTTTGCTTCTTTTTGGACTAAAAATTTGATAAGGCCTGATGTTGATCTGAACAGTCAGGGAAACTGAGTATGATCATATGATCTCATACGAATCTTCAGATTGTATTCTATATTTTATTTGTGCTCAATTTTCAAGACAATAAATATTTTGTCACGTGGATCTGTGGCCCGTGAAAGTGGGACAAAAATAAGTATGGAACAGAGAGAGTCAGATGGGTCAGAATCCAATGTCAGGCCGCCCTAGTGAAGCATCACAAAATCAGGACAAAGAAACAGGCCAGAAACCAAGACAGTAGAAAATACATATACTAAAAGTATGTGGGGAAGGACTTCCAGGTTTAATGCCAACATAGAAAGAGCTTGGCAGTGGCCATGATTACAACAAGAAAAAACTGAACAGACTAAAAATCAGTGACTTTCCTTGGATGTATCAGAGAACTGAGGTCACAAGGCAGACCTCCACTGCAAAATCTGCAGAGACAGACACATCCAGACAGCTACAGCAACCAATATCTCCTCACCTGGAGCAGAAGCTCTGAGGCCATCAACTAATAGGAACACCTAAATGGTGAGCTGGATGAATTGCTGAACATAACTGTGGGCTAAGCGTGAGAAACTCATGGGAACCATAGTCTAAGAGGGACCCCGAAAGCCACCAGAGTCTCACCACGAGGATTCAAGAAAGATTCCCTCATGGACCTGGCCAGGGAAGGGGCAGCATCACCACTGTGAAATAAGCCAAGAGCCTTCTCAGTAACAAAGACCTACACTCCAGAGGAAAGGACTTTGTCAGAGCACAGTTCTCAAACCTAGTCCCAGCTCCTGCAGCCTTCCTGTCTCACCTAAGAAAGAAAAATAAAAATCATAACCATAATAACATAGTCAACAGTGGCCAGGCTGTCATGGAAGTAGACTGGAAACTCTGCAGCCAGGGGTTGGGGTAGAGGGCAAGAGGGGAAGCAATTCCGCCAGGGAAACATCTGTGAACTTAACAAAGTCATAGGCTGAGACTGAATCATACAGTAGTAGAACACCCTCCTCCCCCGCCACTTGCCATCACACCAGTAGGGGTCCAGTATAATCACAGCAGACTGCAGACAAAAGAGCTCAAGAGGGAAAATCTCTCTGAGGAGTACCTAGGAGTACTTGGTACATTTTTTTCTTTTTTGCTCTTTGTGAAGTCTCTCAGGAAGGGAAGGGGGCACATGCGAAGCTCTCAGGATGCACTTTGTGAATGTGGCTGTGTACGGGTGGGGAGTAAAGTGCAGGTCCAGGTAGAGGCTCAGGCAGAGAATAGGCTGGGATGTGCTCAGTGTCAGGAGCAGCTAAGAGGACAGCAGAGAATGCCCAAGATGCTGCCAGGAGCATTCATTCCAGAACGAGCCCGATGTCTCCTGATCTCAGGAGTTCCTGGGGTGGGGTGAGGGGTTGGGGAGAGGATGGAGAGTCCTTGGATGGAAACACCTGGGCGCCCCAGTTGCCAGAGGCCCTTATTCCAGACTTGGGAGTATGCAGTCTGGTCCATGCCATCTTTCAAGCAAACCCCAATCATTGTCAAGGCCTCCCAACCCTCAGTCAGAATCACAGTGCGCTGAAGTCTCACCCCAAAGGCACAGCCAGCTGTGGGGACCAGGCTCTGGGCCAAAGGACACACAGGGGCAGGACTGACCGAAGCCAGGGCGGGGGTATGTACTGCACATGTGTGGGCCAAGAGTGTGTATACTTCCAGAGCGTTCTGGGCCACAGTGAGGACTCCTGGGGGCCAATCCGATGTCTGCCATGGTCCAAGCCCATAGCTGGAGATATATAGGACATGCTAACACAATTCAAAAGAAAGCTGGAGCACCTGTTTAATTTTAGACAAAGCAGGCTTCAGGACAAGGAATGTCATCAGGGATGAAAAGGGCATTACATGTGACAAAGTGGTCAATTCTCCAAGAAACACTGACAATCCTAAAAGTTTATGTTCCTAATAATAGAATATCAAAATACACGAGGCAAAAGCTGATAAAACTGCAAGGTGACATAGACAAATCCATAACTGTAGCTGGAGACTGCAACAGGTCTCTATCAGCATGTGATAGAACAAGCAGGGAGAAAATCAGAAAGAATAAGGGTGACCTGAACAGCACTATCAGTCAGTGTGATCTACTGAACATTTGTAGGATATTACATCCAGCAGCAGAATGCACATGCTTCTCAAGCTCACATGAAATATTCTCCGAGGTAGACCATATTCTGGGCCATAAGACACACCTTAATACATTTAAAAGAATAGAAATCATACAAATAATGTTTTCAGACTACAACAAAATTAAATTAGAACTCTGTAAGGCAAATATAGTAGAGAAATCCAAAAATATAGGGAGGTTTAAAAAGCATTTTAAAATAACCCATGAGTCAAAGAAGCCTCAAGAAAAATCCAAAAATATCTTAATTAGATAAAAATAAAAATACAGCTTACCAGAATTTGTGGGATGCAGTGATATTTAAAGCATTAAATGCCAAGAATGGAAAGGAAGAGAAATCTAAAATCAATAACCAAAGCTTACACCTTAGGTAACTAGAGAAAGAAGAGCAAAATAAATCTAAAGCAAGCAAAAGAAAGAAAATAATAAAAATTGGAGCAGAAATCAATGAAATTGAAAATAACAGAATAAAATCAATGAAACCAAAATCTGATTCTTTGAAAAGATAAAAAAAAATTAGTAAGGTCGAGCAAAGGTAGTCAAGAAAAAAAGAGAGAAGACAAAAATTACCACTATCGTAAATAAAGAAGGATCATAATTATGGATAGCCAATTGAAGAAACAATTGGATGTTAAAGGGTAATAAGGGAATATTGGGAACAACTCTATGCTAACAACTTGATAACAGATAAAATGGGCCAATTCCTTGAAAGGCATAAACTACCAAACCTCACACAAGGAAAAACAGACGAACTGTACAGCCCTATATCTATTAAAGAAATTGAATCAAAAATTAATAACCTTCCAAAGTGAAAGTACCATCCTACCAAACATTTATGGAAAAATATAATACCAATTAATTCTCTACAACTCTTCCAAAAAACAGAAGCAGAGAAATCATGTCTAACTCATTCTATGAAGTCAGAATTATCCTAATATCAAACCAGATAAAACATTGCCAAAAAAAAGATAAATATCTCCCATAAACTTAGATGAAAAAAAAATCAACAAAATATTAGCAAAACAAATCCAACAATGTCTAAAAATAATTATTGTTATCAGCTAGGATTTATTACAGTTATGCAAGACTGGTTCAACATTCAAAATTCAGAAATGTAATCTACCACATCAACAGGCTAACAAAGAAAAGTAATATAATCGTATCAATTGAAGCAGAAAAGGCATCTGACAAAATACCACGTGCATTCATGATTTTTTAAAAACTCTCAGCAAATTCAGAGAAAAACTTTCTCAACTTGATGAAGAACATCTACAAAACACCCACAGCTAACATCATACTTAATGGTGAGAGAAGGCAGGAATGGACTATCTTATCACTCCTATTCAACATTTTGCTGCAAGTCCAAGCTGCCACAATAAGACAAGGAAAAGAAATAAAATGCATAAAGATTGGGAAGCAATAAATGAAACTATCTTTATTTGCAGAAGACATAGTTGTCTATGCAGAGAACTCCAAAGAATCCACCAAAAACAACCCCCTGAAACTAACAAGCGAATACAACAAGTTAGTAGGATACAAAGCATACAGGTCCTGTACATATTTAGTTAAAAATACACCTAAGTAGTACAGCACCACCAAACCAGCTTTACAACAAATGCTAAAGGAACTTATCTAGGCAAGAAACACAAGAGAAGGAAAGGACCTACAATAACAAACCCCGAACAATTAACAGTTAACTGATTCATTTTGTTGTAAAGCAGAAACTAACACACCATTGTAAAGCAATTATACTCCAATAAAGATGTTAAAAAAAAAAAAAAGAATGAACTAGCAGAACAATATAAAATCAGCTGAGGTTAAATTTTGAAGAGTGAAGAAAGAAAGTTATCAGAGCTCAAAGTGGTTTCCTGCTTGTGGACCATTGGAGTTGCCACTTTTTCTCTGTTTTCTAAACTTGTTCCATCAGTGTCCTGGAACTGCTATGAGCCACCCATATCGCTCAAATAAATTAACTGTTTTTTCTATAACATAGCCAGCATCTGCTTCTAATGCTTAAAACCAGTACCCTCGACTTTTACAGACACAAACCCAAATATAACAGGCTTCTTATTGTGCCGTTTTCTGGGTACTGCTTAAATACTTGTAATCTGGCACCTCATATCCTTTGATACTGGGAAATTTTCTCGAATTGACTCCAGGATGTACTGTCCTCTCTCTACTTTTTTCTGGATGAAGAGAGACACCAGGATGACAGCTATGGAGAAAGAATCACTGCTTGTCAGCCCAAGTCAATGTTCTAGGGTAATTTTTTAGGAGGAGGAGATTGACTAAATATCTACTGCATGTCAGAGAATCTGGAAAGATCCCTTAGACCATTGGTGAAGAGCCTGAGATAAATTTATGGTAAATACAAAAATAGTAAACTACAAAAAGAGACAATTATTAACTCTAGGTAGGAAAAAAAGTTATGTAGGAGAGAATGCATAATCATTTTTACCATGGGATTCAACTAAGAAGAGTATTGGCAAGATCATTAAAAATAAACACCAAATATTGAAATAATCAAAATTTTAATATAAATATTTTGGAAGGATGGGTACATGGGAAAGGTATACATGTGTGGTGAGTTCGTGGAGAGCAAGACATCTAAATCAATAAAGAATGTCTAAAATTTTAAAAAATCTAGTAATGATATATTATACTATTCAGAAAAGTAGAAAAATAATCAGAAGTGAAATTTGTTGTCTCAATGGAGGGAAAATGCAAAGGACAGGGTACTATTTTTTTGCAAAAAACAAAAAAAAACAACCCTTGAACAGCACACTTTGACTCTTTGAACTACATGCACTTATAAAATGAACTGAATGTTGCATTGAGATAGAAGCTACAAAGTATCACTGGTTTGATTTTTTTCTGCATTTAACTCTTCGTGTTAATATTATTCTGTAGGAATTTTCCCCTAATATTCTTTGATAACAACTAACAATCATGGAACTCTACATTTTATTCATTCAAACAACAGAATACAGTATATCAAGGTAAACATTTGCATGCCTTACAAAACCCAAGTCTGAAATTACATATAAAGCCGGAAAAAAATGTTCTAAAGAGGGTGACTATGTTACTTATCATTCAAACAGGGACAATAGGCAATAAATGGGGATTATTCCAGACATTTATCACCCATAGCCCCAAATTAGATCTTTTCTTACAACACCTTACAACATAGTGCTTTAAATCTTGAAAAACATAATATGTAATCCAACCTTGAAGACTTGTAAAATTTTTTAAGAAAGCATTGCAGTTAATTCTAGAAGCCATAGTTCTACCTATTGGATCACTAGCAATAGAAAAGTTTTTAAAAAAAGCTTATTTTTACTTTATAAATGTATAAGAGCCTAGAGACCTGACTTAGAATAATCCAAAGAACAGACCAGTGGAAAAATGTATTAATTTATGCAAAAACCTGCATGTGAAGGTCAATACTTTTTAGACACTACATTCTAATAGTGGCCTAACTAATGATGATAATAAAATAATGGTATTACATGTTTCTATTGTTTTATATTTTTCAAAGATATTTTCTTATCTCTACTGTGGAAAGAAGCTAAACTTTGTACTCACTGTTTAGCACCTTCATTCTCACTATATAAGCATCTGTATTCTACATTATCTTCAATCTTGTTGGCATTTCACACCAGCAGTACAAAATACAGCACGTTATTAAAAATCAAGGAGAAGAAAAAACAAAAAATATCAAGGAGAAGCATTTTGATTACAGTGATTTCCAATTACGATGTGGACTCTACCAATTTGGAAAATTACTGTAATGTAGCTGTAGTTATTTTTTAACATAGTTCTATATAAACAAACATAACTTGGATGTTTACAATAAAAGTAAACCTATTTAAATTATTTTTATTTTACTTTATCTTGTAAATTGATAGTCGAAGTATTTTAAATGTATATGTATTTTAGTAATAAACTGTGAATAAATGTGAATATTTACTAACTGAAAACGCTAACCTCATCCACCTGCCTCCCACCCATATAAGCATGATTACAAGCTAATGAAATTCCTATGTGATTTTCTCAGCATGCATAAAGCCTTTTAAAAAATGTTCCAAGGTCTCTCTGATGATAATATAATCAATACCCTAATCATTGTAGGTTAATAAGATGTATTCTTTCCCTGACAAAACTGTGTACTCTATAATGACATTCAACAAATTTACCTACCTTGTCATTACACAGCAATTCCTTGTAACTGGTTACTTTAATGTAAATACTAAAACAAGGGCATTCAAAGGAAACACAGATTATTATTTAATGTATTATGTATCAGTATAAATTATATACGTAAAAAAGAATCTTAGGAAGCATCTTGTTTCCTAAATAACACCTTGCAAAAAAGATTTAAAACATAATTTAATTCAAGTCTGACCTTTCATTCCGTGGATCTGTTTTGATCTGTTTCCTTAGTAACAACTGGAATAGTAGGTACAACAGATTAGGGAAAAAATATATACATGTGTGTTTGTAGGTACATATATATATACACACATATATATATACCATATACCTACTATAGATACCATATATAGTGTGTGTGTGTGTATATATATATAGAGAGAGAGAGAGAGAGAGAGCAAGCATAGTTTTTTATATATATTAGGTAGAGTTCACAACTCCAGCAAGTTAGGTATAATATTAAAGAGACTACAATGAAAGTGATTTGTTAAGTAGAATATCCAAAGAAAGAAAATGAATGAACGGAATTTCATCAGCATAACAGCTGACAGTGTAGCAGGATCAGTAGAGGAGATCAGAGAAATTTCAGCAGGACTTAGGAAGGTTCCAAATCCCCGAAAATATTCTGAGCCCTGCAGAGGAAGAATTTATAGAAAAGAAGGGACAGAGTAAATAGTTCTCATAAGTATTTTGAGTGAGAGATTTTTATAAAAGGTTAAAACACCCATGGAAAAAGAGATGAGTTTCAAGTGTTCTGGAGGCTTTGCAACACGTAAGGGGTTTGCCACAAAAATCTTCCCTGAAACCATATTGTAATGGTAAGAAATGTTTTACTTCTCACCTACATTAGTCATTGAGGATTTGGTTATCAGAATCTTCCAGAAAGTAATATTTTTATTAACTTTTAGGGAAAAGAAGTCATTTATCTTTTAAAGGATGTTAAGTTTGCTTCACCATGCAAATTGATAGATTCAGCCACGGAAACTTTCATTGATCTGATATAGTCAACAAAACAGTAGATGGTTTTCTTGTAAAACTGCCTTCCAACTTTGTTACAAATATATTTGTGGAAACACTTCTTGAATCCAGATATAAAGATCTATAAGCAAACAAAATAAAAATGAGAGCTAACTCTCATTGCATGTACGTAAGTACAACTGGGAGTGGTCGGTTTTACTTTTTCCCTTCTGAAATAGGTAGGGGCATTCACAATTTCTGTAATTCACAGATAACTGCACTATGTGGCGTGCATGTATTTAAAGATAAAACCATAAAATATCCACTGGCCTGCTAAAACTGTCAATTACAGCTTAAGAATCTGTCTAGACAGTATGAGAATTTGGTTTGGGATTGCTTTAGGTTATCATGAAAAGTCTGCAACTTTGAAACCTTAATGCAGCTATTGTGATGAACCTTTTAGAAATGAGGATCTTTTCTTTCTTTCTTTCTTTCTTTTTTTTTTTTTTTTTGGCTGTGCCACACAGCTTGCAGGTTCTCAGTTCCCCAAGTAGGGGTTGAACCTGTGCTATGGCAGTGAAAGCCCAGAATCCTAACCACTAGGCCACCAGGGAACTGCCTAGAAATAAGAATCTTTTAAAGATGAGTATTAGAGACACGAACGATCATTATATTTGGTCATTACCAAACCATTGTGGTTTCGAGGTGACCATGACTGTTATTGAGTTTCACAAATACTTTTCATTGTTGCCTGCATCTAGAATTTGGACAATGGCAGGCATGGTCTCTAATTGCCCTGTCAGTCATAACATTAGGCCAAACTGTGTCTTTGGCCAAACTTTGAAGCAACAGAAGTTTCTTTGTACCTTCCTATTCTTTGATCCCTTTTCCTCGCTCCCTAACCCTCCCAGTGCTTTGCCCCCTCTCTTTTCTACCCTACCACCCTATACCACCACTTCCAACTATCATTCTTTTTCTTGTATTTAAATTTCACATAATTATTTTTTTAAAAGCTAATAATGTCTAGGTACCTGACTCTTTTGAGAGAAATTATATATTAAAAACAATTCTCAAAAGTATAAAAAATTCAATATAAAAAATTAAGTTACTGTTGGATCATCTACTACTCTTGCTCATAAGGCTAAACCAGGGATAGTGAAATTCTATATGAAATCAGAAATGAATTTATTTGAGAGTAGCAAAGGAAGAGATTTCCCTGCCACATTTATCTTCCTCTTGACCATTTAGTCATTCTACTGCCAAGTACTCTTCTGGACCAAGCTGGCAGAGTAGGTTCTAGAAGTGGGAAGAGGGAGAGAGCTAACCTAGACCTGCCCTCCTACTCTTTTTAGCCGGCTAACGGAAGATGTCTTGGAAGGTCATTACAGTCCGCATTTGTTGGCAACCAGCCCAGCTTCCAGGCTCCCCTTTACTTCTTCTAATAAAACTCTGAATTTCCCAGTAGGGTGCTTTGGTCCCACTCCTACCTAGCTCTAGAGGTGAGCCCTTAACTGACTTAAGCCTTTTCATCCTTTCTGGCCATAATGACTGTTTTATGATGGACAAGTAACCAAATGTGTTTGCTCTATCAGAACAAACTCTTTGCCAGGCAGAAACAAGAATTATGAATTGCCAAGAGCTGTTGGCAGTCATCTTGGAAACACAAGGGAGAAGCCTGAATGAGAGTTAGGTCTAACACCAAGGAAGTGGATCCAGCACTGTGAAAGGGCATGCAGAAACTGTCTTATATCCATACTTAACTCTAGACATAATATTTAAGCCCTGGTAAATAACCCTTGCCTGAAGGTTGATCTCCCCTTGATTGTTCCATTACAGGATTCAATAAGTTTCCTTTTATGTGTGAGCTAATTAGGGTCAGGTTCTCTAAAACATTTCTGTTAAGAATGTTCTCTAGTTAAGGCAGTATTTTTCCTGTCAAATGAAATAAATTTGGTCAACTAGTATCCAAGGTAGACACTAAATAGTGGGAAGAAATTGTATAAAGAGCCATGTGCATAATAGTCATCATTAATATGCTCAGATTAAGGGAAAAGCTTAGACTCTAGTCTTTGGTCTACGAGAGAAGGTTGGGTAGTTGACATAAATATCCTCTCCTGCTCCATCTGAAGGCTGATTGGCAGGGACAGGAATTCTGTAGTTGTTGGTTGCCTAGAAAGACAAACACAAAGGATGTTAATAATTCACTGCATTTCAGCACTTAATAAAGACACTCAAAACATAAATCTCTCCTTAGTTCAACCATGATATAGGTCAAATTTCTAGTACAGTTAATTTCATAAAACATTCTCTTCACTGTATTGAACTTCTGTGAGAAATTACATTCTTGATTTGCAGAGTGGTGAGTGAGATACAACAGAGACCTAGCCTTGATTATCACTTGATATATTGTGATATAAATTACCTGTTTAAATGTAAAACTCCCTCTCCTGATGTTAGGCTATTTTGAAGAGAACCATTATTTGTATTTTTTATATGGAAAGTCTCGTACAGTATTTTCCCATAGTGGATAATCATTAATTTCTGTTGAATGGAAAAATAAATATTTTTAAAGTACACAGTGTGCTGGCTTAAAAATAAGCAACTGAACACAATTAAAAAATTACAGGGACTCCCCTGGTGGCACAGTGGTTAAGAATCTACCTGCCAATGGAGGGGAAACAGGTTTGAGCCCTGGCCTGGGAAGATCCCACATGCCGCGAAGAAACTAAGCCCATGAGCCACAACTACTTAGCCTGCGCTCTACAGCCCGTGAGCCACAACTAATGAGCCCGCATGCCACAACTACTGAAGCCCACACGCCTAGAGCCCGTGCTCTGCAACAAGAGAAGCCACCGCAATGAGAAGCCCGTGCACAACAACGAAGAATCGCCCCCGCTCGTCGCAACTAGAGAAAGCCCATAACGAAGACCCAACACAGCCAAAAATAAGTAATAAAATAAAATAAATAAATCTTTTTAAAATTACAAAAATAAATGCACATTCACTTTCAAGATGATGTTATACAATCATTAATCTTCTCTACCTTAATTGGGTCACTTTGACCACCTGTATGTATGTGTGTGACAGAAAATACGTAAGCATAAGTGACAGAGGAGGGGAGAGAGTGGGGGCGGGGCAGAATTGAAGGGAGGAGAAGAGAGGGAGAGAGAGGGGTCTTTCGGTGAGTAGTCTGAAAATCTAGTGTGGTTTCAGTGTTTGCGAGGAGAAAGTAAAAGGAAAATTCAAGTGCTATTGTTTTCTACGTAGTTTGTCTAAAAAAATACCCCGCAGAATCAAGTAGGTCTAACTTCACAGACCAGTTTACTGTCTAACTTTCTAATCACCATTCAAATTATCATTATTCTGCAAAAGCCTGGAAGAGTTGAATACCTAGTGAGGAAGTTGCAAAGCGCCTTTCCTCCTCTGAAATTCACAGCAATAAATGTGGCTTTGGATTGGCTTGAATGGACAACAGTTAAGGACAGAGAAGGGATCCGGAAATTGCATGTGACAGAACACGGTTTCCTTGCGTGCAGGCATGGCAGGTCAGACAAGGCCAGACTTCTCCAGCCTTCGCACTTGGTGCCCAAAAGCAAACCATGAGATATTCAGAAAAAAATTTTTTTTTGTTTTGCAAAAAAGTAACTACCTAACAGAAAGAAGAATGTTAAACTGATAGATTATTAAGAAGTTTGAAGCACACACACTGGATTGTCAGAAACTTTTTAGTACTTGAGGTTTGGGCCGTGTAGCATTCAATGGCAAATAATTAAATTGAAGAGATATGGATGTAATTTTAGATAACACTCAGGGAAATGTTTTATTGTAAAATTTTGTAAACACAATAGTATGTGTTAAAGAGAATATCTGACCTATAGTGGAGACAATGAGCACGAAAATAAGTGTCCCTCTTATCTTCACACCCAGAAGGGAATTTCTCCTCTGTCAATTAAACATTAAGGGGCAGGGGCACGTAGAATAGGAGGACAATGTCAAGTTCACTCGATTCCTGCAGCCCAACAAAAAGGTCTTTAGCTTTATAATCTGAATATCCGTTAATTAATAAATTAATCCAAACATCGTAACAATAATGGATATCCTGCATCGCATTTTTCTACGTGCTTGCTATGCTTTTAGTTACATTTAATTTAATCCTCACAATAACCTCATGACATAAAAATATTATCATGCCCTGTACTGGGCCAGATATCATCCCCCCTAAATTTTTGTCCTTCCCAGACCTTCATTAATGTGACCTTATTTGGAAATAGGGTTGCTGCAGATGTTAAAATGAGGTCATACTGAAGTAAGGTGGGCTCTTAGCCCAATATGACTGGTTCCCTTATAAAAGGAGAAGAGATACAGACACACACACACACACACACACACGGAAGAACGTCATGTCCAGACAGAGGAACAGACTAGAGTGATGTGTCTACAAGCCAAGGGATGCCAACAACCACCGGAAGCCAGGAGAGAAGCACAGAACAGAGTCTCGTCCCAAGAGGGAACTGATCCTGCTGAGACCTTGATTTTGGATTCCAACCCTCCAGAACTGTGAGAGACTAGATTTCTGTTGTTTCTAGTCACCCTCTTTGTGGTAATTTTGTTGCTGCAGCCCTAGGAAACTAATACAGATTTTGGTAATGTGCAATGTTGATTATTATTATCTAGTATAATTGCTCCTTTATTTATGTGAATGTAAAACAAACAGTTTCAAAGGTATTAATAACAGGAGACTAGTTCAGAAAATAACCATTTCATCAAATAGCTGATACTGGAACAACAGGCAACTGCACTGGTTAGGTTATTGAAAGGAGAATAAAAAAGAAGATTGCTAACTGCAAAATGGACTGACTTTACATTTATGATGCACAAAACGGGGGGGGGGATGACAATTCTGAGAAAACTTACCCTATTCTGTGTGTCCCAGTACTCTTTAAATAGGCCTCTTTTCTGTCTCCTTCTCCTTCTGGGAAAACATGTACAAGAGAGGTAATAAGAATGACACTCCAGCACCAGCATTATTTCAGACGCTCTATAATACCTCACCTGTACCCGCAGCCCACATGCCCTTAGTGATTATGTTAAAGCAGCTGTCCACAGCGGTTTTATACATACTCACCCAAAATTCCACTGTCCTAAATTTTTTCATTTTTCGTACCTTCTCCAGTGTGCTCACAGATGGTGAAGGCAACTAAATGGATATGCAGCCAGTTCCTTAGTAATTAATCTCAGTGAGTTTACTAAAGAATGGTGCAGAGTGGGTTATTATTGATACATAAATGACTTAGAGATTTCCCACAATTAAAACTTCCTTTTAAATGCTAACAGTGCAACGTCTTGGATGACAATGACAATACGACTAAGCTTTATGGAATCTTCCGGGAGTTTTACTAAACCACCTGTATGGATTACTTTATTCAGATTTCATCAAAAACTCTCTATTTAACGAGCTGGGGAACTGAGGCACTGTGAGGAAGAGTAATTTGCCCCAAATCACATGGTTGGTTATCAGCAGAATCGGGATTTGAATTCACAGCCCTCCTTCCTACCAGGCTCACTGCTTCTACAGTCACACTGCTGCAGCTGAAAACGGGCCATCCGAAACCATACTATTCGATAAACTCTCCACAGTTTCAACAAAACTTATAAAAACCTAACTTCAGGAGGAATCTTTGAAAAGAAAATACAAGAGAAGAGAGTCATGTAATTGAATGCAAAGATGAAATAACTACATCCAAGTGTATGGAAATTGTTATCATGGGGAGATGATTTTCATCCCCCTACAGAAAAGATTCTTATTGAACCACAGAGGGGACGGGTCAGATACAAAAATGTCGAGGTTTTTTTTAAAGATGAGGTTATAATTACTTCACAGAAATTTTGAAAAGCTGGCAAGATAGTCTCTCTCCAGGGAAAGGTTGTTCAGATAATCACTGTTGACTCTGATGGTCTCTTCTAGTTGCTATGAAATCCTCCTACCATGTCAACAGAATCACAGACTATGTGCATTTATGTATTTACTTATTAAGTAGTATTTAAACAAATTATTTACTTACTTTATGTGTAAATTTACTATGTGCAAGTCATATTTCTAAGATCTTTTATATAAATTATTTATTCCTCATAAGAAATCTATGATACAGACACTATTATTATCCTCTTTTCACAAGTGAGGAAACAGACACAGATCTATGACTTTTGATCCTTTGTTAAATTATCTTTCACAAGGCTTGTTATATCATAATATAGAGTTAACTTTCCCAAGTAGGTCCAAATATATATATATACATGTGTGTTATATATATAAACAAATATATTTTTTAACATCTTTATTCGAGTATAATTGCTTTACAATGGTGTGTTAGTTTCTGCTTCATAACAAAGTGAATCAGCTATATGTATACATATAATCCCCATATCTCCTCCCTCTTGCGTCTCCCTCCCACCCTCCCTATCCCACCCCAACAAATATACTTTTAACATAAGCTTAGCATATACAATGTGATGAGGAAAAGAGAAGATGATTTTTTTCCCCAGTTTTATTGAGATACAATTGATACAATACAGCACTGTGTAAGTTTAAGGTGTACAGCATAATAATCTGACTTACATACATGATGAAACAATTTCCACAGTAAGTTTGGTGAACATCCACCATCTCATATAGACACAAAAGTAAAGAAATAGAAAAAACATTTTCCTTGTGACGAGAACCCTTAGAATTTGCTCTCTTAACAACAGGCATACATAATGTAGAGCCGTGTTAATTATATTTACCACGTCGTAGATTGCATCCCTAGCACTTATTTATCATACAACGAGAACACGAAGTTTAGAGTTGGATGATCTGCGTCTAACTTGTGCTCTGCAATTGACTAGTTATTTGCATCTCTAAAGGTCAGTCCTCTCACCTGTAGAATAAAGACAGTAAACATATTCCCGTTCTGGCTTGCTTGATTCTAAGGAGTTTCCCTGGGATGAGGAATGATCAGCGCTGAAACCCGGAAAGTCCCAGACAAACCAAGACACCCTATTTGCTGTGAACCTCGAAGCTGACTACAGAGGTAAAAGTAAGTGCCTAACATTTGCTCGCTAAATATTAAATTTCTTCCTACAGACTCAGGTGTCAATCCCTAGACTGTATCTCGGCTCCTGTCACGCTTACTGGTGCTATGCCTTCCCCTAGCCATGCTCACTGAATATGGTCACTATTCTGGTCTCTAACTGGAAATGACACCAACTGTGTTCCAAAGGCCTCATGCTCACAGGCTCCCCGATGCTGGGCGTGAAGGAAGAATTCAGTCTCCTTCAGGCACCCTGTGATGTATTTTGGCTTCTCTCTAGGTCAGCACATCTGAAGCTGAAGCGGCAGGATTATTTTAAACAGTTGCTAAGACAGAGTTCAGAAGGTCATTGTTTAGTCCCTTGGGTCATTTTTCAAGTCGTTTCCATTCTAAGTAACGACCACAAATCAATACCAATGACAAGGTAGAAAGAACAAGTGCTTTTTGCTGTGTGGTGTTTGGCCATGGTTATGCATTCAAGTCCACTGATCTTTTTATCACATTTAACCAAGTGGGACAAGATATTCTACAGTTCAATTTAGCTATTCATGTAAAACTGATGCATTTTCATGAAGTTAAATCCTTTCTGTCCAATATCTGTGACCCTCTCGAGGTCTGTCCTGTCACTCACTCTCTCCTAGCCATATTCCTTGTGTTCCCATGTGCTCCTGCTGTCGTATCTGCCCTCGGTGCATTTTTTAATCAACCAAGGTGAAGCAGTAGAGAAATCCTCAGTGTCACTAACATCCTTACCTCAATTTGCTAATTTCTGACCAGGGAAAGACTGGAGGGCAGCCCATGATGGACAGAAAGGAACCACGACAGTTTCATGTTTCAATTTAATTAGACAAATGCTTATGGACCATCCTTATTTGGAAAGATTAGCGCTAAATGCTATCAAACACTAAAAAATGAATAAAACATAATCCCTGCCATTATGAATAGAAGGGAAGCCAAGCACGGAAGCGATTAAACTACAAAGCAGGCTGCGAGGTGTGGTGGTTAAGAAGTGCAACACGATTCTGGATGGTGACATCATGTCTACTTGTAGGGAGGGAGAAGCAGGACAGCCCTCCCAGAGGGGACACGCATCCCACACCTTGAATGGTCTGCAGGACCAGATCATCCTAAGGCCAAATATGGGGGAAATCAGCATTTTGGTGTCATAACAAATGGGAAGAGTCAGGCGTGTTCACAGAATAAAAGTTGTAGTTTTAATACATTTTGTCAATATCAGGAGAGTAAGTAAAGTAGAAAATATGAATGAATATTAGGTTGGGGTCAGATTAATTGGGCTGGGGTCAGAACAAAGGGCACCTGTGCCACAAGGTTAATGAGCTTAGCGTTATCCTGGTGCCAGTGGAAAGACAATAAACAAGTCTTAAACAGGGAGACGACGTGGCCAGTCTAGCTTTTAGAAGAGGAACCAGGAAAATAACAGATGAGTTAGAAAGGGGGAGTACCGCTGAAGTCAGGCGAGCAGTGAGGGGAGCCTTCGAAGAGGATATGGCGATGAGATGGGGAAACCGATGGGAAACCCCGTCAATAAGCACGCAGGACTGTGTGTGTGTGTGTGCGTGTGTGTGTGTGTGTGCGCGCGTGCATGCGTGAGTGGTAACATTACTGGGGGAGAAGAGTGGAGATGGATGTATTCCTTCACTCAACAAACATACAGTAAGTGCCTACCATGTGTCGGACATTCAAAACGTAGACATCAAAAGTTTGGTTCCTTCTTTCCTTAAGAATTTAATACTTTAGTTGGATCACAAGTATAAGGAATGATTCCAACCCAATATGACTACAGCTAAGATTGCAACAAATACCTAGACTGGTGAGTTGATGAACATGGGGCAGCTAAGAAGGGAAGAGTTAACCAAGAACAGCCTAGAAAATTGCCAAGTGTGCCACAGGCGGTAAAAGGTAGGAAACTTTAGAAGAGGCCAATGGCCACCTGCTCTCTCTAGGGCAGCCCCTCCCAACTCCTTTCTTCTCAATGATTTAATAAAGGCACCTACACTGATTGTTTCAGAGAATATAGAACCATTTAAAATCACGTTGCTTGCTTATTAGAATATGCATGCCACTACATCTCAGTCACCACTGCCACAATAAATATGTAATGAATGAATGAATGAAGGCATTATTACTGTTCAATCCTGATCTTCTCTCAGAATCCATCTCTCTCTCTCTCTCTCTCTCTCTCTCTGTTACACACACATACCTCCCCCTCACCTGACAGCCGTTTTCCTTTGCAGGAGGAGAGGAGAGACGGGGTAGCAGACAGAGCAGAGGCACCAGGCGGCTGGCTTTTTTAGTGCAGGGGTGCACTGCCCACTCCTACTAATTCCGAAATGAGTCATTCTAGCCTCCTCCTCCAACTTTAACTCCTTCTCTGCTACGTACAAGAGCAGCGCTCAAAGTACATGGACTCAGTACCTGAGTCATAAGACAGCTTGACCAACTACTGGGTTATTAATGGAGAAACTCCAGCGTCAGAATTACTCAGGGAAAACTAGATCCAGGAGGAGCTGCAATACTCACCTCTTATAAGGAATGGCAATGACGGTGGTAATTAGGATAATCAACAGCAACAACAAAGCTGTCCCTGCGGCCATGAAGAGGATGGATTGGTTATTGGTTTTACCTAAGAGGAAACAAAGTTATAGGAGGAATTAGGAATTCAGCTAAAGCCAGAAAGGAAAGGGAAGTGGGAAAATTAGGAAAGGGTATATTAATCATCATAGGGTAACAATGTAAAACAAAGATTCCAGTAAAAAATAGGATGAGATAGGGGAAAAAGATTTTTCTTTCAGTCTCCTAAATACTTCTGACTCCTCACAGATTTTCACTAGTTCCTGGATCTAATGGTGGGTTTGACACCTTATTGAGACCAAGAATAGAAAGCATTCAAGACAGATATCACTTCATTCTAATGAGCTCCTGATCACATACATGAAATCTTTTGTAGGAAAAAAACACATCAAAATAGTATATAAATGAAGATTACTTCTTAGTTCTATTGCATTAAGTACATCCAAGACACAACAGTATGTAACTTTGATGTTTATAAGTGGAATTTTGTTCAAGAAATATTGTCTACTCAATTACGGTTAATGATAAAAATAATCAGGAAAAGCATGTTACTTTTCCAACTCAGCGATTAACTGGAAAGAGCAATGGCCAGGGAATCTGAAATTCTCATCCTGGTTCTTTCACTGTTTAGCTGTTTGACCTCCAGCAAATTCCTAACCTTCTCTGCCAGCCTTCCTTCAACTGTCAAGTGATGCCAACACTTCTAATTACACCACAGAGCTGTGATAAGAGGCTAATAAGGCAATATTTAAATATTTGCTCACCTCTGGAGCCAGATCCCATGAGGCCAGAGACCATTTCCTCTTTCAAATGTCCTCCTGCCCACAGCACACCTCACCCACCGCCACCCACAGAGCTCCTTACAAGAAGAAGAAACTCATCAGTATGTGTTGTTGATGGAAACAGGATTGAATTGAAACCGAGGCGCCATCTTTTTTTTTTTTTCTTCTTTTTTTGCGGTACGCGGGCCTCTCAGTGTTGCGGCCACTCCCGTTGCGGAGTACAGGCTCCGGACGCGCAGGCTCAGCGGCCATGGCTCACAGGGCCAGCCGCTCCGCGGCATGTGGGATCTTCCCGAACCGGGGCACGAACCCGTGTCCCCTGCAGCGGCAGGCGGACTCTCAACCACTGTGCCACCAGGGAAGCCCCGAGGCTCCATCTTTATGGCCATCTCTATATCTTTAGGCAGCGAATTTCCCAGGAAATTTGTAGGAAAGGGGCAGCTATGGCAGAGAACAGCACAGCTTCCCTCTCTCTTGAAATAAAAGCTCGAACGCTTGTACCCTGACTCCCAGGCTATCTGGAATCCCACAGCAACCTGTAAACCATACTTCTCACAGCATTCTTCCCAATCCTTCACTCAGATGATTTCTTCCTTCCTGACCCACTATAGCTGAGATTTTTTTCATGATAAGAGCTCAAAGTCTACTCCACTCATTCTTTTGCAAGCTTTACTGCAAAAAGAAACTAAGTCAAAAAATAAACATTATTTTTATGTTTTAAATTTGTTAACCTGTAAGGTGAATAAAGATAGAAAAAATATATGAACACTTTTAAAGACCTTGTATGTAGTGCCTAAGATAGGGTTTTGTCCAAATACGATGGGGAGAAGGAAAGAGAAACTTACTCAGAACAAAAATACATTGAACAACAACAAAAAAATACACTCAACCACCACTGCAAAAGGAACAAGGATATTTTTTCCCCGTCAAATATGAAATTAATGTTTTTAAGCTCTTGGCACATTATTAAAAGCAAACAAAATACCTGAAAGTATTTGCATTATAACACAGGCCTATAAAAGGACCGCGGTTGCTATGCTGACATAATTTGAATACAGTAGATGCTAAGGTTAAATTAAATAGGCATGGTGGAAAAAAATGAAAGTTATGATCAAAAAATTCATTGACAGTATTTTGGGAAAATTATTTACCTGTTTTTTGAAATTTAGATCTTAATTACAGTAAAAAAAAGCCAATCTGGGTGGACTGCAGAGATCTAAATGTTTAAATGTAAACATAAGAATAAACTATAAGTGAGTATTATTTAATCTCTGTAATGAGAAACGACTTTCCAATTTATACAAATAAGCAAATACATAGGATTGACTGGGTCAAAATGAAAAATATCTGTAGGTCAAAATCATCACATGTAAAGGCAAAAAATTAGTATCTTTAACATACCTTTGCTATCAAGAAAAACCTAGGTTAAGACAATAAGTAAGATAAAAAACAACTTATTAACCAAAAGTGCTTAAAGACAAGTTTGCATGAAAGGAAGAAGGTGGCAAGATGGACGACCTCAGGCTCCATTTGGGGAGAGAAATCTGCCGCAACCTGCCTCTGGGAAGAAATCGCTCTCTGTGCGTCAGACCTTTTCACGAGCTTCTTGCACATTTGATTAATTACTTTTTTCCTAAAGAAATGCTCAGAAATGTGAAAAAAGAGTTTTGTGGAACATTTATAAGAGCAAAAAGAAAATCCTTCTTTCCCAGGAGCACTCTAAAGTAAGACGACACAGCTGAGGGTCTCAAATGTAATTAGAATCACAGGGCAGGGGGACGGGGGGAGGCTCGTTAAACCACAGATGGCTGAGCTCCCCCCTCAGAATTTCTGACTCAGGAGGTTTGTGTGGGTCCCAGAATTTGCAGCTCCGGTGTGATGCTGGTCTGGGGCCACCTCCTAGAGAATCACAGCTATAGACGTTAGGATCATGGGTGTAAAGAATCCCAATGAAATGGAAAACTGCTGACTCCAGATAGAAAGTTAAGTAAAATTTCAAAGCCAGAATTCACAGTTGTGCATGCTATGATATCTCAATCAAGTATAGACCTTAGGAGGAAAAAGCCTGCCAGGCAGTAACATGCCAAAATTTTAAAGTGATGATCTTCAGGGAATAGAATTAAAAGCAATTGTTTCTTTAAGCTTTTTGCTATTTTCCAGATGTACTAAATTATGTATTGCTTTTAATAATCAGAAAAAAATTGTACAAACACTTAAAGGTCTGCATGCTTAAAGCAGAATACTCTGCCAGTTTTTCGTGGTTATATTTAAAGTGCAGGATGTAGAGAGCGTCTTTGCAGAAGTGTACTCTGAATCCTTAACAATTAAGATGGCATTCTTTGCTAAGCTCCCAGCTGTATGAATTAAGTAGAAACCACTGAAAAGTATCTTCATTTGTTTCACACTGCTCACTTATAAAATCTAAATTTCAGATGCATTCCTTAATGTGACATATGTTGCCTCTTTTTAACCTCTTTTAGCAATGGGTGACCTGCTGGACTCAGATCCATCTTCTTCACTCATCTTTTAACACATAGTGTTGAGGCAGACTGTGTACCTGGCATTAGAGATGAAATGGTGGGCACCGAAAAAAAGCATGGGAGTCTGGTAGAGATTCACTTACAATCCAGAGTATCCCAGCCTATAGCCAATCCTACTTGTTACCTCCTTCTCAGCTTCCCACCCCTCTGCTGCGTTACTGTGAACCAGCAGTACTTGGACCAGGCTGGTGTAAGCACCCAACTTGCTGGGCCCTGTACGGCTAAAACCAAAAAAAAATGGAAAAGCAAATGGGTGTGGGTGCTTTAGGGAGTTAATCAATAGTTCCTAACGTTCACTTTTTCCTAAATTCTTTTAATAGATCTTAGCTTGAGTAACGTCAGCCCTCAAGCCCCTCTCTTAAAGAAAGAATTACTGTCTCTTCTCGGCAGCCACTATTTTGCTGATTTTTTTTCAACCTTCATCCCAATGCGGTGTTGATTCATAGGAGGACAAAAGTGTCGTGAACCATAAAGCCATTATCTTCCCTCCCATCAAGAAAGATAAATAGGACTCCCCTGGTGGCACAGTGGTTAAGAATCCACCTGCCAATGCAGGGGACGTGGGTTTGAGCCCTGGTCCGGGAAGATCCCACATGCCATGAAGCAACAAAGCCTGTGCACAACTACTGAGCCTGTGCTCTAGAGCCTGCGAGCCACAACTACTGAGCCCACGTGCCACAACTACTGGAGCCCGTGCGCCTAGAGCCCGTGCTCCGCAACAAGAGAAGCCACCGCAATAAGAAGCCCGCGCACTGCAAGGAAGAGTAGCCCCCGCTTGCTGCAACTAGAGAAAGCCTGTGTGCAGCAATGAAGACCAAATGCAGCCAAAAATAAATACATAAAATAAATAAATTTATTTTAAAAAAGGAAAGAAAGGTAAATACAGTTAAAACAATTTAAAGCACGTCAGTGAGATATATAAATGAGTAACTTACTCGAGGACTGCAAACCTCCAGGCTACGTTTCTGCCAATGACAAGTATTTACAGCTGAGTTATAAACCCTTAGAAAGGCTTGGGATATAAATGCTTCCAGGTCCTTGCCTCAGAGCCAGGCGGGTAAGAGCAGGCATTGATGTTTACTATTTATCTTTTATTAGAGTCTGGGGTGGGGTTAGGGACTGGGGAAACCAAGCAACTTAGAACCTAAATATCTGGACCAAAAAACATGCTGAGAAAAACTCAGAGATCCTGACCCTCTACCCAGCCCTGGGCAGGTCATGGTAGATACGAGTAAAAGTTATTCTTGCTGTCTTACCTCATTAAAAAGAAGAGAAATGTTTGATTTCGCTCTATGTACAGATGGGATACACACTGTGTATGTTCCCACAGGATAGATGTGTGTTAGTTGACAGACTCAGTGCTATCAGGTTGATTCCAATTTTTGACTCACTGTATAATGCAAATATCCAATCTTCGTCCCATATTAGACACTGATTTTTTGAAAACAATAGATGGAGGAGGGAAGCCTTCAGTTCTAAGTCCTATCTTCTAATTCTTTTCCCTGGAAGACCCCGGCGTAAGATCACTTGACCTTCTGGACACTTTTTTGGCAACTGCAAAATGATGATGCAATCAATCCAAGGGTGGCCATGGGGGTGGCTCTAGATAAAACATGTAGGGGGGCTTTATTTACATATTTAAGCACCACATAATGTAAGCTATTAAGAGTGAACTTATGTTTTGTCCGCACACATTCAAAATTAGAGTTAAATAACTAATTTCTATTCTT